GGTCAATTTGACAATTTGACATGACAAGTAAAATTTTAAATAAATAACAAGTTATTAAAGGTTAGGAAATAAATGTGGATAATGCTATATTTACATAACATTAATATTTTTTTAATGTTCAAAGAGTGATTTTTATATTAAATTAGCTCTGTATTATTTAAATTATGAATTTGGTTTGGTTTATTGTCCAAATCCAATAAATAAGAATAAATTTCACTTAAATTGTTAATATCTGTCTTTTTGTTCATAGAATTTGGTTCCTGTGAAATGAAAGCCATCTCCAAGAAAAGTCTTTTATGGTAGTTATTTTCAATGGCTAATATTTTAATTTCGTCATAATTTATATTATGTTGATATTTATTAGCATGTTCAGCCAAAGCACAACGTTCCGGATGCAGTCTGCAATCACTTCTGTGGGAGGAGATTCTACCTGAGATAGGTCTTTGTGTTTGACCAATATAGACTTTATTACATTCTAGACAAGGAATGTTGTATACTACATCTGATAATGATTTTAAGGGGGTTTTATCTTTGAGTTTAGAATAGATTGAGCCTATTGTTAGAACTGCCTTATTGGCTATCTTAATGTTACTATTAATATTTATAATTCTTGATAGTTTAGGTGTGATCTCTTTGATGTAAGGTAAAGAGGTAAAGTGTATGTTATTTTCTTGTGAAACAACTAAATTCATGTTATTGGGAGCTAAGTTCCTTAAATTATTAAGTAGAGCAGTATTTTGGGTATGTGGTGTAAGATTATCACTGTTTTGATCATGGTTTTCAATAATTGGGGTGATTTCATTATTTTGTATGAATTCATTAACTGTATATGATGTACTGTATATAATTTTATTAAGGAGTGATTTTGGATATGAATTGTCAATAAAAAGTTTATAAATGATATCTAGATTCTTTTTATGTAATATTAATCAATCAACTTTCATAGATCTCATTTCCTTCTTATTTAATAATACATATTTTTCATTCGATAACAAATACTATAAACAAACTTTTGGTACCCCTATGGGTGCATCTATCTCACCTATCCTAGCTGCCTATGTGATGGATGACTTACTGGACACAGTTATTCCAGTTTTATCTTTTAATATACCTTTTATAAAAAAGTATGTCGATGACATTATCCTTACACTCCCTAGTTGGGGCCTAGACGAGATAGTAAATACTCTTAATAGCTATGATCCATACATACAATTCACAATAGAAAGGGAAGATGAAAATTGCTCGGTTCCATTTCTAGATACCAAGTTCATTCGAACCCCAGATAACAAAATCATTATCGATTGGTATAGAAAACCTTGCAGTTCAGGTAGATACCTTAACTATCATTCTTACCATAAACAATCTATGAAAGTGAATTTAGTAAAACAAATAAAAAACAGAGTTTTGAAAATCTCAGACCGGTCTTTCCATAAAAAGAATCTAGATATCATTTATAAACTTTTTATTGACAATTCATATCCAAAATCACTCCTTAATAAAATTATATACAGTACATCATATACAGTTAATGAATTCATACAAAATAATGAAATCACCCCAATTATTGAAAACCATGATCAAAACAGTGATAATCTTACACCACATACCCAAAATACTGCTCTACTTAATAATTTAAGGAACTTAGCTCCCAATAACATGAATTTAGTTGTTTCACAAGAAAATAACATACACTTTACCTCTTTACCTTACATCAAAGAGATCACACCTAAACTATCAAGAATTATAAATATTAATAGTAACATTAAGATAGCCAATAAGGCAGTTCTAACAATAGGCTCAATCTATTCTAAACTCAAAGATAAAACCCCCTTAAAATCATTATCAGATGTAGTATACAACATTCCTTGTCTAGAATGTAATAAAGTCTATATTGGTCAAACACAAAGACCTATCTCAGGTAGAATCTCCTCCCACAGAAGTGATTGCAGACTGCATCCGGAACGTTGTGCTTTGGCTGAACATGCTAATAAATATCAATATAATATAAATTATGACGAAATTAAAATATTAGCCATTGAAAATAACTACCATAAAAGACTTTTCTTGGAGATGGCTTTCATTTCACAGGAACCAAATTCTATGAACAAAAAGACAGATATTAATAATTTAAGTGAAATTTATTCTTATTTATTGGATTTGGACAATAAACCAAACCAAATTCATAATTTAAATAATACAGAGCTAATTTAATATAAAAATCACTCTTTGAACATTAAAAAAATATTAATGTTATGTAAATATAGCATTATCCACATTTATTTCCTAACCTTTAATAACTTGTTATTTATTTAAAATTTTACTTGTCATGTCAAATTGTCAAATTGACCTTTCGTTATTTATATTTTTTTAGTTTTAAAGTATCGTAATTATTGTTTGTGTATATTATTTTGTAATTGATTCAGCTTGTCCATTGTATATTTACACTAAAATGAATAATACCACCATAATGAACAACCTTAATTAAGATGTAAGTAATTAAAAAATTGTACCTTACTTTATCATAATATGTGGTATTATTTTATTTTAGTCTCCCTGATGATGGAAATAAACATTTCCGAAAGCTTGGAATAAACTTAAAAAAGTAAACTTTCATTTGCTGCATTACCCACAAATTACTGGTTAAATTAAATTTAAAATATATAGATACACATTATCATATTTAATTTTCACGGAAACGATATCAATAATAATTAGATTACGAAGAAAATTATACTAGCTTAAATCATTAAATACTGCCGATAGATGTTTCTTTAAAGCTAGCAACTATTAGTTAAAGAATAATGTTTGTCTGATCGAAATACATCGTATATTGTGGCATCAATTATTTCAGAATCTGTAATTGAGTCGTTTAGCCATGTCTCAGTTAATGCTAATATATCATATTGGGATGATATTGTAGAATTGATATAAAATTCTCGAGTTTTAGTTCTTTAAGTTTACCAGATTTAACACCCTGTGATATTTTGTTATACTAATATTTAACATTAAAACTGAACTCTCATAGACTCTCAACATTATTTAGATTTCTTAAACCTGGAGAGAAACCGAAAGAGAATAATTTATTTACGTTAAACTTTTCAAAATTGGAAACATTAAAAACAAAACAAAAATAAAGAACAGAGCCACACCTAGCAGTTTGTAAAAACAGCATTTTGAGGCACATTTACGAGTTGGTGAAAAAAGTGAAGGCCAATGTAATGCGAAAAACAATGATTTAATTAATGGCATTTTGGGTCATGTTTACTAAAAAACAGAGACACAAAAAAAGAATTATTATAAAGTATTTGTTTATTTTTATTAATATTTAAATAACAAAATAGACAGACCCATTCACAGATATTTGATGTTGTTTGATTGTTTTTGGTATGTTTGTTTGATTCACATTCCGTTACAAACCACTGATTTTGATAATTATTAGGTAGTAATATAGAAAACAAGTTATGTTAATTAAATCTGGAACAAATAATCCATTCTCAAAACTCAAAAGATATACCAGGTATTTAGTAGTTGTTCTAGACATGTGAGGATCGGTGTTTTTTTATTTAAAATAATAAATAAATATTCTTTTAATGAGCTCATTGATGAGATGCGAGTAAGTAATTATGTTTTTATTTTAAGTAATTTTTGTACTAATTATTATATTTATTATACTATATTTTTTATCTTTATAAATATTAGAGATGCACAAAATATTATTAAAAAAACCGAAAAAATACAAATTACTGTAGAACTTGTTAAGGCCGCAGTTTCACTGTATATTTCCTATAAGAAGAAAGGGTTCACCATTTCCGATTGCATTTAAATTCCACTAAATGTATTAAAATTAATCTTCAGTATAAGGTTTGGAAAATGAAATCTTTTATTTTTTATTTGCCGTTTATATACTAAAAAAAATCATAAAAAAGTTATTTTAAAACCAGAGCTAAAAAGTAGGAGATTCCATTCTACATATTTTTTCAAGTATCCCGCCAAAATATTTCTAAATTTTATTGGTTATTTTTCAAATCTAAGCCGATTAACAAATATTTGAGAAATTTATTTGTCAAAGTAGAGATTTTCTATGAATACCTGTAATTGTGTAGTTCATCTTTTTTTAAGAAGATGTCACCATATAAAAGGGTGTTTCTTACCAAAGATTTCTTTTTGAAGAGTATTTTTTTTAAAATAATATTTAGACCTTTATTTTATTGAATTTAGAACACATTTTGTGAAAAAGTACATCCAGAGGAATGACCATAGGAACAGAGGAATGACATTTCTATAAGTTGTTAAACAAAATAAGTAATAAAATAAGATTTAACTTAAAAATATTGTATGGAATGAACACAAAGATTTAACTTAAGAATAGTGTAAGACATTAATGAACATATAACTGGAACACAAAACATTAAACTTTTTCAAAAACATCAACATCATTTTGAAATGTATAATAAGTTTTAATTCCGTAGGAGCAAATCGATGGAGGTGGTAAAAGTGCTAGAATATTATCATAGACTATAAATGATATGTCACTTTGATTAGCTCTAAAGGCTTGTGAGCCATGAAGTTTGCATACTTTCAAAAAAATTACTTTAACTTCATCATCATCATTATCCAACTCGGTTTGGGTAATTCCAAAATAACGATAACTTGTTTTTGATATTTTTATTTCTACCAGGATAAAGGTTCCAGCTTTTATATTCCTTAGGATCAACCCTAATGCACCGACAACAATAGTGCTAGAACCAGCTTCTTCATCTGAATTATAAACATCTTCGTATCGAAATTTTTTTTGCTGTTTCTTAACTTACAAAATGAATTGATAAATTCTTGTTCAGACTCAAAGGATAACTCACACTGATCGGGTTCTTTTTCATAAGCCTAGTCTAATGTACCTACCAAATACTTATCGTCCTAAACAACAAAACAACTTAGTGATACAACGCGTAAGACACCTGTGGCATAATCATCTGTTGTGACTTGATGCACTTGCATTGTACCTGCGAAGTGCTTTATCTTTTCTTTTTCAATCATAGTGTTGATATTCTCAATATTCTGTTTCTTAATTGAAAAATATGTAACATTTGTTATATTTTGCTTCAAACTTTCTAGTAAAGTATCAAATGAAGCTATATCTTTTCCTTCAGCGACCAATCTGTCGGCAGTTTGTTTTGTCGCTCCTCCAATGCCATCTGGAGCTCCTTTACCGTGACCAGACTCCGAATAATTCCAAGAAAATGTGTTAATTTGAGTATACAGTTTGTGGAGTTTAGTTGCCAAGAAGTAAAACATTGTTTTATTTCGGTACTACGTGGCAGGGCTATCACTTAGGAAAAATAAAGTATCTATCTGCATGCAGATTTTTTGAAATATATGATAAAACTGGTTTAAGATGAGCCAAAATGGCAGGTGCATCATGCTGAAGAAATTCAGACAATGTACAAAATGATTTTGATTTTTCTGTTTTTTGAGATTTAAAGTAAATAACCACTATATGCAGTGAGATCTATTATCTTGAGCCACCAAAGTGAAATGATTGTGTTTCTTATGAATATATTAAAGAGTAGTTCTCGCCAAAGTCCATATGCGGCAGTACTTCATTTTGTTGAAGAGTAGCTTTTTTTCTATGAAATTTGATTGTACTGGTATTTCAAAAAATTAGAATAGATCCCTCAAATTCCGAAGTAATTTGTATTATGGGTCTGATAAATTTTTGTTTAATGGTTTCTACAACAAATTTTTCTTTCTGGGATTTCTTATCGAAAAAAGTTTCCTTCTTCGCACCCCATTTGAAGAAATGTGTAAGTCTTGATTCGTCATAAGATTCGAAATTGATTTTCTTTTCTATACACTCAACACATTCACTTAGTAAACACTGCTCGGTTTCAGGTTCACAACAAAGTATGTTGATGACTGCATTAGAATTAATTTGTGCAAGGACGCCCATTCTATGAAAAGCCTGAACTAATAACGTCATTTTTAAACAAGGGGTACAGCCGCATGTATCAAGAGCTGCTACTTTTCTGGAAACAATCCAAAACGGGCGATTTTTGTACCAGAAGGCGTAGGTGATAGGCATTTCTGGATGAGCAATCAAAAACTTTTTATGTAGGTTTTTTAGGGTGTCACTTACCTGATACAACCCTTTTAAATATTTGTTTTTCTTTTGAACCTTTGAGACTTGCATAGCTTGATTTCAGTTGGTCTCAAATTACTTCAATAAACAATAACTTTTTTGCAACAACATTTTTCTGCTCAGTATTAGCGAGTAATTGTTTTACTCTTGTTCGTGGTGTTGGCGGATCTGTTCTAGTCTTAAGTTTTTTTATGCGATAATATTTTTATTTGTATTTCTGAACCTTTAGTTGAAGTTTCTTAATTAAATCAATTTTTCGTTTATTTTTCCGACTTTTGTTTTTCCTATTTCTGACGTATTTCCTATTACCAGATCGTCTGTAGGTATTTTTGGGGGTTTTATTCCCTTCTACATTATCTTGTTCCTCTTCTGATGCTGGTGAAGTTTCTTTATGCAATCTTGCCAGTGTTATCTCATTTTCAGCTTGAATTTGTTTTCTTTTATTTCTATATGTTTGAGAATAATTTTTCAATTGTTTTATTCTCTGTCGCTGAAGTTCATTAATTGGTCTTATAACTTTCTTTTTTTTTTCTTCTTTAGATATTGGTTGGCCTCCTTATCTCTTAATTTTTCTTTTTCAACAGGGTCCTGTTTCAAACGATCATATCTTCGTGTCTCAGTTTCTCTTTTTTTTCTCAGCTTTTCTTCTCTTGTCTGGGGTGATATGTCTGCCTTGTTCTAACCATTTTTGCACTATAAAATTATAAACTTGAAAATAAAAAATGAATGAGATAAGTGTGTTATAAAAGACTGTTTTTCGCCAATTTTCTAATAATTATTCTTTTTTTATACTTTTAAACCCATCCAAGGATACGCTGTATTAAACTAATCGTTCCTCTGGGTTATTTGGTTCCAGAGGACTGATTAATTTACATTTTGGTTCTTGTATTACCAAATGCATAGTATTTTATAACCCCACTTTTTATGGGCAAGGTTCTTAAATTAATTTTTATTATATGATTACCATCAGAACAATTTTAAAAAATATATAATAGTTAAAACTACTTACCAGAGGACTAATTATTGATGTGTAAATTGTAAATTAAATTGCCTTTTCTTAAACAACGAAAATAACAAATTTGTTATTAACCTATAACCCAACACAAAGTAATGGCACAGTTTATAGCTAAAAACTGTGGTAATGGCATTGAATGCTCTGTTCTTTATGCGAGTTGACATGTTATGCCATCTATACAAAAATAATAGAACTACGATTTTAAACAGAGGACTGACGTTTGAATTTGGTAACAGAATATAAGTTATAACTATTTAAAAATTTGATTTTGGCATGACAATAGATATACATATTCTTCGGGTGCCTCTTTTATTCAAGTGTATCAATATATTTTAATATGTTGAGAAAAAACTGATAATTTTATCGCACCTTTGTCTAGTAACAGCCAGAGGATATGATGATCCTATAATTAAAAAGCTTAAATAATCAATAATCCGTCATTTTTGTGAAAGAAATATGTTTAGTCGGCTTAACAAATAAATATATGATATAACTACATAAAAAATGTATTTTCTATTTTTCCACTATGTATTCCAACAATGAAAACAATAAAAGTAATCTTTGCTGAGAATTACCCAAAAACAATATGGTCATTCTGTTTTATAGATGGTTTTAGTAGGTGAATGATATCTATCAAAATTAGTTAATGTTACGAATATTTGAGTGTGCTACTGTGGCCTTAAGGTAGTTCACTCGCGACAGTCGTACATATAAATATCGCATAATGGTGAATACCAAAAGTTCGACATTCTCAAGGGTAATCAATTTTATTTTTGTAAACACATGTATATAAACACAGATGGATATGTTATAATTTTAATAAAATCCATCCGGCAACCTCGCAAATATATGAACGGTATGCTATAGAAATTTGTGACTTCCTCATACTAATTTTATGGGTTTGTTTTGGTTCAAACAGAATTGCGATTCCAGTTCTCAAACACAGTGGACGAATTAATTTTTCAAGAACACGTCGCGAGTTTATAACAGCCTCTTTCATTAACCTTATGTTTCAATTTTATTGAATTCTTAAGAAAAGCCGTTTTTTCAGTAAACTACCTTAAATGTATAACTCCTCGATCATACAAAATAAGTACTAAATACGTAGGTACTACCAGAGCTGGGGAGGATTCGAATCACATAGGATTCGAAATCTGGGATTCGAATCCTTTTTGAGGATCCGCTAGAGGTATTCGAATACTTAAAAAAAAAGGATCCGTGATCCGGATTCGCCATAGAAATTCTTAAAGATTCGTATTCGAATCACCAATATTAGTATCGGATACTAGAGACCAAACTACGCTGGCGCGAACAGTCGACTCACGCTTTGACTTGTCGCGAAGTGTAAACTGAAACAGACAGACTGAAGAGCGATTGTTAATATTTCGAAGATAAACGTCGGAATCTACAAATTAATTCAAAAAAAGGCAGCAGAGCACCTAGACAATTTTGAGTTGAAACCTATGCCATATTTTTAGGCTACTTTAAGGCTATATTTATACCCAATTCAAAAAATTTATGCTTCTCGTTTTTTACATAAATCAAGGTTCTTTGCTAGCTTCGAACGAAGCCAGCAGAGCGCCTCGGTTTTTTAAAGCTTTGTTCTAAATACAACCACACTGCATTTTTTGGCTCCTCAAATATTATAAAACTACTAAAAAATTGCTATTTATAAATAATACAGAGTGCTTTGTTGGAACAAAGTCAGCAGAGCACACCGGTTTTTTAAAGCTTTTTTTTTTCTAAAAACAACCACACCGCATTTTTAGACTATTTTTAGGCTCTTGAAATATTTTAAAACTTTACTAAAAATTGCTATTTTTAAATAATACAGGGTGCTTTGCTGGAACAAAGTTAGCAGTTTATTTTTTTTTCTGGAAACATCTACTTATGTCACATGTTTGAGCTATTTTTAGGCTCTAAAAATATTATAAAACTTTTCGACAAAATTAGTGTTTTTTAAAAAATACTTTGTGACAATGGTGAAATTATGTTAGATTTAATGGCATGTCGCCGGCTTGTATCAGTTCTTTCAATTTTCATTTCAACATCGTAAATTCCATTTTATGAAGGGATAAACGATTTGTTATTTAGATAACGTTAATACCTTACAATTGAATCCATCGTCATAAACTTTGCTCAACTTTTTTTGCTAGGAACTCTGTTTAAGTTCCTTGTGTTTTATTTATCGAGTTTATTTTTATTTTGTTACGTCAATCTTTCTAAATTTCAATTTTACTCATTATATTTGTTTAATTTACCAATGGGTTTTATTTTAACCCCCATACACCCCAGTGAAAGTTATTAGGTGAAAAACCACTTAGTATCTGAGGAAAAGAAAACATCAACTAACAGGTATAAAAAGGTTTCACGCATTTAAGCCGTGACGAATCACGCCCTAATAGGATATTTAATTTGGTAGAAAACTATAGTGCCCAAACCGCTCAACTAGACTTGATAGACATCTAAGTTAGACCTATAAGTAAGTACCCTTTTCAGTTTATGTAAGTTCTATTTAAAACCAATGCAGGGTTAAAGTATAGTTCAGTCAATAAGTAGTATAGAGAAATAATACCCCCAAATAAGATAATAAGAGGGTAACAAAGCAGTTATTACAATGGTGCTTTGTTGAAACAGAGATACTTTGCTGGCCTCGTTCGAAGCTATCAGAGCAACTTGATTTTTGCAAAAAAAAAAAACCAGTATTATAAAAATGGCTTTAAAATAACCTAAAAATATGGCATAGGTTTTAACTCAAAATTGCCTATTGAATATCCAACATAAAAATATCTAAAATTTAACACTTGCCTTCCTTCGTCTGGTGCAGTCTAAAGATTATTTTTGTTTGCAGCTATAATCGACGCACCTCGAAATTTTGGTGCTATCCCAGCTAGCACAAAAACATCCCATCTACGTTAATAAGCTGCAATTTTAGGCTCTTTAAGCTCGCATGCAATGTACCGTAAACGTAACCCTATTATCCCTGCAACTACCGAATGTCCGCAACTGCAAGACTTTTATAGCACATCTCGTAGAAGTTATAAAGTGAAGTTCGGAAAACATCACACTAGCACTTTTACGGTACTTACCCCGAAAGTTGCTCTGAAACGTTCTATTGATGTTATAATGTGAATTGGATCT